TGCAACAATGTCCTGCAGTCATTTTGACCCCAAGTTTGTAAAAATCAGAGCTACCGTTTGCACAAAACAGACATTTTTCAAAAGCAGGTTGGCACAAAGAGCGATGCTTCTCCGATTGACGTGCTCAATGCACATGAGCCACACCTGATATGAAACCGTGAACTTCAAATGACTGTATCAATAAAAGCATTTGTCAGACTAAATTGAAACTTCACAGATGTACTCATAATGAGTGTCAGGTATGTATGTCAAGTTTGAAAAAAAATCAGGTGACTTCTTGGGAGGGGGATGGATCCACCCCAATTTGGCAGTGTGATGGGCCCCAAAAGTCTTGCTCTTAGGCTTTTGGGATGGTTTATTTGGGGGTTTGGGAGGGGGCAGATAAGTGTGTGTTGTTTGCTGGTGTCATTCTGAGTAATGGTTCAGAGGGTCAAACCTCAAGCCATCAACCATTGTGTTGATGTAATTGGTGCACTTTAAGTGAACAGCTTGTACATATTTTTTAATATCTATCCCTAAAAATAACATCCAAAAAATGATAACTTGCGTACATACTTGGCAACAAAAAGAACAGCTGTTGCTTTATCATGGCCAACAGGAAATAGTATTTAGTTGATTCATTGCAAAAAGGCCGGGTGTTACACATCGGAGATGACCAGAAATTTCTGAAGGATTAATTAATAATTTTTTTAGAGGAAATTCATTTTGGAAAAGTCCAACGTGTGCAAGCACATGCTTATGTGAGCACCTGTTGTCTATTATGCTGCGACGTTCTAAAAATGTTTTCACTGTGATGGGCTATTTCCTGTACCAAGTTTAGGATGAAGTCATATCAGTCTGTACTCCAGAAGAGAATTAATGATATCAAAGACAGTTTTACTCCAAGTTGTAAATTTGAAACTTTGTGGGGACTGACAGAAATGTCAACAGAAGAGAAGGGGAGTGGTTTCATGCCCACTTTTATAACAAGGACCTTTTCAAAAATCTCATGCATTGCTTAGCATTTTTTGTTACTGGTACATGTATCTTGGGCATGCAATTGTAGACAGTCACAGGCAACTGAACATTCACAGGTAGCTTTTTTTTTAATCAAGATTATACATATACTGTGTTAGCTAATATGTTCCTGAATGTTTACATGTATATACCCAACATTTTAAGTCTGGTGGCCAGACTTTAAAAGCTTGGTAGCTACTTGTTAAACATCGCTCTCCGTGGTACTAGACAAAGGATGAGCTATGTTGGTATCTTGAGGAGGGATGCTGGGATGGAATTGATGATAGAGTCGACAGCCTGTATAAGGGACACTGGCATCACCACAGGAGATCCCGCCTGCGGGGGGGGGGGGACATGATTATAAACAGGTTGGGGTGGAAGCAAAACTTGGTGTGCTTCCAGGCTATTGCTGTTGGTTGTAGAACACTGACAGAGTTATCCAGATGGATGGAAGATAATTAGAGTTTACCCATTCTGGCACACCTTACCTGCAGCTCCCTATTGGTGAAACATCTATTACAGCCTATCAAAACAAGTCACCCAGACCACTTCTGAATGGCAGAAATCCCGCATTGAAATCAGTATGAATTGTCCGCATTTTCACACATTGGATGGACCACATCGATGACGATATTCATTAGCTGATACGAGGAAAAAGATTTCAGATCAGTTTTCCCTAGATCTAGGTACATGTAGCAGAAAAAAACATATTTCACAAAAAAGAAAGATCGTGTGGCAAATGAAATTGTCCAGATCTCAAACTCCAGCATGTTTTCAGTATACATAGAACCTGTATTTTTTTTTTAATACAAGAGCATCCAGACACTGTGTTTCAGTGCTTGCGCATGTTTGAGCCATTTCCTTCGTATTCTTCAATGCGTGGCGTTTATAATCTGTCTAGCATTTGCAGGCTACATACATTTATGTACAAATTCAGCAGCATAGTACTGGACACCCCAATGGTCCCCCGTTAATTAATTAGTGGCAAAAAACATCGAGTCGGGTTTTGTATGGAGTGACAACCCCCGAACAGTGGCTCCTTACAATAGTTACATGCACGTACATGTACACATGTATGTAATACATGTGTACTTCAATACAGTGCTTATCCACTTTGGCGGGGGCCACTGCAAAGGATTTGTGATAACGTTACCGTGGTCACCGCATTTGTCTGTAAAAGCTGTTTCCATTTTTCATTGGCGTTTTCCTATTGTATTTTAAAAAAACGAGCAGGGAAAAGTGTCACTGGACGTAGAAGCAACAAAAGAGCTTTAGTTGAGGGAAGTCTTTTTTGGTTGTTTGTCTTGGATCTTTTGGAGAAATCACATTGCTTTGAGCTGGTACATGTTTAAAAGCTAAAAATGCTGAAAGTTTGAAACAATTTTTATTCAAGAAAGTGTGCTGATTTTTTAAATGTCAGGAAGTTGAACTAAGAATAGGATATTGTTGGGCCTGCACATACTGTACATGTACATGCAGTGAGCTTCTTTGTGGGGAATGATTTCATAAAAAGCCGTCTAAAGATAGACGTAAATGTCAAGCAGAATCATTGGTGTTTGTGGCAAGGTTGAGACATGCAGTGCATTGTGGATACAGTGTGCTCTGCAAACCGTTCATCATCACATGTGACTTTCTTAGCATGACCGATGTGATAAGTGATTTGACCGGAAACCTAGCAGTTTGCATCAGACAGTGATATTTTTGGTGTTACAAGTTGTAGCTCACATGTGCCGCTACCAGTAGCTTCCAAACTGAAAGATTTCTTCTGTCTGTAATGTGGATTTCTAATATACCCGGTAAAAACATACGGTACATGTACATACACGGCACATGTATACATGTACTGGTATCTTGATTCTGATCTTATTCCTTAACTCATTCCTCTACCATGAAGCCTGGCTTGGATTAAACATCTCTCATGTGGAAGTAGTCCAAAGACAAGTCTTAACATGTTCTCAAGCATTTGCCAAGGAGCATGCATGCGCTGTACACAGGTGTACAAGTGTATGATGCATTCAGTATTGTACATTGTCATACCTCTGTCTTGGATACTCTCCGTTTATTGGCCCAGAATGATCACATGACAGGGTGACAAATTTGCATATCACACTCACCGTGAGACATTTCATTCCAGCAATGGTGTGTGCACACACGCATACAGGCACGAAACAGAAGAGCTTCTGGAAGTTCAAGAACGAACATTT